TTGAGCATTCTTTCCAAATTCTGTTTTAACTGATCTAATTCAAACGGCTGCCGTCCCGCAGCTGCTGTAAAATAAAAAACCCCTCATTTGAAATGAATGTTTTTAAGATCAAATTTCATTAACCTGAAAAAGTCAGGCGACGTAATAGTTAAAGTGCAGGATGTGATAATGAAGTACTTATTGGACGAGTTTCCGTTGAACGCTATCGATTGCAAAGAGCCGGACTTGATGGATGCGCACCCAATTCCAGACCATATCTATCTTTCCGAGCAAATCAAAGTGTGCCTAGAAGAGGGCGAATTTGAAATGACTCAGAACACCGATTTCCTCAGATATTTTGATATTAGCTTATACACAATGGATCTTTCCGTTTGGCCAAAGGCTATCAGGTAGACAGTTTTCTAAACAGAAAATTTACTTTAGGACACTGTTGGTACCATTAGTGATATATTACTGTTTGAAGCAAGCAGTTCAGGTCTCAGTTTCGAGTTGTTGAAAAGTTTTCAGTAAGTGTTGCACTTTTTTTATTCGGCCACTTTGCACCTCTAGCAGAGTTTAAATCTTGCGCCTTCTCGGCGAAACATTAGAGTTCTTCACTTTTTGTCCAATATTGTTTTAAGCTTGAACGATTTGGTGCTTCCTCTTGCAAAAAGGGCTCCTACATGCTTTTCGAGCATACCGATGAAATCCAGAAATTCTCATTTATGGTTTTTTATGCGTTTTTGCGTATATGCAAATGCAAAAACGCATATTGCGATGGCCCCGCTGTGTGTGTGTGTGTGTGTGCGCGCGCGTCTGTCCGGGTGTTTCAACTCGACACCCTGGCAAGCTCCTGCGTCAAAATATTGCGGGTGGGTTCCCCGGCCAAGTGCTACCCCAGGACCGCGATACCAATCCTCATGGATTACCAATCCTCCGCTTGCGAGCGCCTCAAAGTTTTGGCGGGAAAATGGCTAACTTGGGGACCAGAAAAGCTAGAAAGCTGAAATTTTGGGATTATATTCCTCGTCCACACAGAACTCAAAGATTTTAAATTCAGCCCCCAGGCGCGAGCGTTTCCCGTGTACGGCCTCTTAAGGGTTCCTGGCGCGAAAATCGCTAGCTCGGGAACCAAGAAAGCTGGGGGGCTGAAACTTTCAG